CTGTCCTCCTGGCACCCTTGCAAGCAGCTAGACCAGGTTCCCACCCTCCCAGAGCAAACCAGGGCTGGGGGCCTCTGCCCTATGGAAAGCCCTGAGAAACTGTCTTGGGCTGTGGTGTGTAGCTGGCTCGTTTCCCTTTAGTGCCTGATTGGGATGTGCTCTGGGCTGGGAAAAGGCTCAGCTTGTCTAAAATGGCCACCTGCCTTATGACCTAGGGCAGGCCCTGGTGCTGTGAACCTCAGGGCTCCCTGGAGCTGCCCCTCAGCCAGCCAGGTCTGCTCCCAAATCTGCTGCTTGTTCTCCTGGGCCCCAAGGACTGGGACAGGTGGAGTTGAAGACAGTTAATCCAGCTGCAGCATCTGTGGGGCAGCCTGGAGATTCCAGTGTGCCAAGGTGGAGCAGCATGTGCCATGGGCTCTCCTGGTCAGTGCACCTGGCTGTCTGCACAGCTAGGATGAGGCAGGATGTGGCCTGCCTTGTATCCCAGCTGGGTGGTCTGGCAGTGAGCAAAAATTTCTTCTTGAGGAGCCATCTGTGATATAAACAGCATGCATGGGACCCATGGCACGTATAGAACCCATACTCACCTTCCAGAGCAGATCTGTGCTCCTGTGTGGGGCAGAGCAGACCTGGTGGGTCACTAAAGCCACTGTTAGGGCTGTGGGGCTGCTTCCTTTCCCCAGCCTCTGCTTGCAAGCAGCCAGGAGACTGGGGTGTTAGCTGAAGCCCCCTGCTCTGACATGTGTTTCCCTGCTGCCTTGCAAGTGGGCCACCTGCCCTGTACAGGTGATGGGGGAGTGGGCTCCAGGCAGTTATGTTTGCTGCATTTTCATACCTGTTGCTCGAGAAGTGGAACGGAGTCCTTGAACGCTCCTCTGTTGTATGGTGTGTGCACTGGAGGGGCTGCTCCAAGGGCACCTGTGTTCCCCCATCCCTTCAGGTAACTTGGCAAGCTGGTACCTGCAAAAATGAGTTTTACACCTGAGTGCCTTACATTCAGCAGGCAGGTTTGCTTGCGTTCCAGCAGAGAGATCTCTTCTTAAACCATGCTTTTTTGCACTCTTTGAGCAGCATGCGCTGTGTCAGTGGACTCACTGGGTGTTGTTTTGGTCCTTGCAGGTTGAGATTCTGAAGGAAGCCATCTTCCAACGCAGCAATGGCACCCACGCTTGCTACTGCCCATCGCCGGCGCTGGTGGATGGCATTCACAGCCATCATTGAGAACCTGCTCTTCTCTGCTGTCCTGCTGGGCTGGGGGTCCCTCCTCATCATGCTGAAAGCAGAAGGGTTTTATTCGTACCTGTGCCACGAGTCGGGTAAGGATACTCTGGAGACTTGTGTGAATAAGTTGCTGCTGAAGTTTGCTGGTGTGGTTCCCTGTCTTAGGGTGGTGTGGAACTGGCTAGAGAGGGCTGAGCTCCAGGTCAGTCCTGGGGTAGAAGGAAAGGATGTGCACGCCTTTCCAAAACTGATGGTGTCCTTGTAATTGTGTAGTGTGCCTGTAGTTGCTGTTGCTTTGCCCTGATTGGAAAAGAAGCCTTAAAGATCAGGTAAAGCTTTTCTGGACAGCCTTTTCTACTTGGCCATGAGTTCTTCCTCTGCTTGGTGGTCTGGCTGATCTCTGCAAGGGAAGGCCCGATGGGTTCTAGAAGATGATTATCTGTGGGGAGGATGTCCTGAGTCTGTAGGAGGAAACTATAGGCACTCTTTCTGTAGTGGCAGGAAAGAAAAGAGCACGGGTGACAATAAGATTAGGGGAGACCAGTGTTGCTGTTGAGGAGAAGTTGCAGAACTAAATACTGCTGATGTTTTATTCCTCTCCCTCTTCAGACATCCAAAATGTGCTCAAATTGGGCTGTGTTTCTATGAGGGCTTGAGATCCACTTTCTGGTCCAGCCAGAAGAAGCGGTTGTCCATGCTGCAGACACAGCCTTGCAGGGAGAGAGGCAATCTTGTGGTGTGGGAAGAATAGCCCCAGGAAAAACAACATGTAGGTGGGCATATATGCCCAACCTGGACATGGAGAGGACTGTGGTCTGGGGAATCCATGTGGTATGGATTTGGAAAGCTGCTTTAGTGACAGGTTTACCTGTGCTTGGAAAAGGGAATAGCAAAGTGAAGAAAGGCAGGATCTAGGTGTCTGGGCTCTGTCCAGAGATATGTGATGGTGGATGAGATGAGATGAGAAGGTGGATTAGATAGACCTTTCAGGGCTGATGAGCATGAGGAGGGGAGGCGGAAGCAGTAGAGGAAGAAAAGGAGCTGGAAATAAGTGCATGGACTCTCAGTGGTAATGGCTAAGAATAGCAGGGGAAATCTGAAATGTATGGAAACAAAGTACAAGCAAAAAGTGACTGTGAAGAGTTGTGATGATACTTTGTATTTTTTCCCTCGTTCCTCAGCTGCTTGTTAGGCTCTTCTCTTCTGCTTTGTGTGCCTCTGGACGGCTGCCTCAGTTTTGTAGAGCCCGGGTCAGGGCACTTGGCAAATATGCTGGTGTTTGAGCCTTCTACCAGCTGTAGTTGGCTGCTTAATCTCCAGCCTGTGCTCTGCTCATAGTGTGATGCTTCCAAGCGTGTCTGTGTCACTTGGGTGTCCAGTAGTGTTCCAGACTGGGTGAGGGAGGGTCCTCAGAGGCTGGAGACTGTTTAAGACTTCTGTCTAAGGTTGCTTTGTTCTTCCCAAGTCGTGGTGACTTCGTCACAGGCCTGTATAAGGGCATTAAACCGGTCAGGTGGAGATACTGCTCCTGAGATAAAACACATGAGAGCAGATAAGCAAATGCTGACTGTCTCTGAAAGCAGCCATTTTCCTATCTGCTTCCTGAGATGTGCCCTGTTGACAAAAGCCCTGCTTCACAGGAGGCCCACCTCCTACTCTTTGCTTTGATTGCTTTCAATTCATCTGCCTTTGCCCCAAATCAGTGAGACTCACCTTGGCTTCTCACCCATGTTTGCCAATCCGCGGTTTGTCTGGCTCTCCCCATGGGAGTGCCCGTGCCGCAGGCCACAGGGAGGATCCAGATGTTTGGACAGTGGTGAAATTGCTGTCCCGAGGGCAGTTTCTTCCTCCCAGTGACCAGCCTGTGCCCTGAGGCAGGAGAACTTAATTCCTGACAAGAAATCTATGTAGTCAAATGTTCTCATTGTCCTCAAATATCTGGCCAAGTGTGGCTGAACTCAGTGATGGCTGGTGATGAGCACTGAGGACCAGTTACGCTGGTTTCCTCATTCATCCATGCTAACTCGCTGTCTTTTGTCTGATTTTGCCCTCATTGTAATAATCCCGGTGGCTTGGTAGGGAAGAGTCCTAGCTCCAAGTGTGGGGAGAACAGACTCCTTCTTGGCTGCCCTGCTGTGGTCACTGAATGATCAGCACTGAGCGGAGTTTGACCTTTGCTGGGATTGGGATGGCCCAGTGGTTGCCTTTTTCAGCATACCTATTGAATCCTGCAGCCTGAGAGGGTACTTGGCTGGAAGGTTGGTGCAAACAAATTGTAACCAGTAGCCTTTGGGCACTTGTTGTTCCTAATGCGGCTGTGTGCATGTAAGTGTTGCAAAAAAAAATTCAGACTTTTCCTAATGAGCCAAAGGTTCTTGGCAGGGCTTTTCGTTTGTCAGCAAAAGCTCTTGCACTTTGTGATGCCTTGAATGAAAGAGAAAACTAGACCTTGTCCCTTCTGCAGGCTCTTCTCCGAAGGTAGCAGCAGCTGCCCAGAAGGTGATTGCAACTCCTGAAGAGCTCCTTGTCTTCCTGTTGAATCCCTGCCTTTCCCTGCCTGCCTTTGGCTTTTGGTGTTGGATTTTACTCAGCCACTGTGCAAACATGCGGGGTCTGCCAGACTCTAACTCAAACGTGTGAGGGTGGACATGGACAAGTAGAAAAAAAATCAATGTAAAAAAGCCAAATATTTTTAAAAGCAGTTGTGCAACATGGTTTGAGTGGGGGGTTGTACCCGTTCTGGGTGGCAGGTTTGGCCACATCCTGAGAGGTATGTTTGCAATTTGCTGACAACGAGTCTGGTAGTGGCACTTTGTTCTCAAATTAATTTTACTACACTACTACTTGGCCTTTAACCAACTGAAGCAGCATCTTTTATTTGGTGCAAACGCTGATTCCACAGTCTTTATCAGGATTCAGGCCTTATCAGCTGTTGGGGAACTTGATTTGTTCAGGGTCTTGCATTGCTGTGATGTTACTGGGATTGGCAAGCTCAAGGCTTGGGTCTTTGAGACATGTTTTTTTTTAAAAAAAAAAAACAAACAAGTCTTGAACTTGATAATCTGTTCACAATGAGCAGAGCCAGTTGGACAGAGTGCCTTCCTTTAAGATAGGGCTGCAGAAAACCAAAAGGACAATAAGGTGATTCACTTCTGGCAGGTTAATGCGCCTTGACACAGACATTAAGGAGGAAGGTGCTGCCTTACAGCTCTTTGCTTTTATTTATTTGGGGTCTGTGGTGGGCAACTTGCAGTATGAAGGTCCCTTTCAAGCTGGTAAGATTTGACGATAGCTTGTGGAAAGGCTGTGTGTGCGACCCTGTAAACAGGAAAAGAGTAAACGTGGTAAATGTTCGATTTCTACAGGAAACATGCTACGTTGATTAGCAGCTGTCAGCGGTATCGGAGAGCTGCACAGGAAGGTGCCGGCCCTGGGTGAGAATTGCTGCGAAATGAAACTGCAGCTGGGGAGAGAATGGGAGTTTAACTGGAGACTGTGCCTCAGTGATATGAGTGTTTCAGGTGGGCGCACAGAGAGCGGGTCCTGGAGGTGCAAGTGGATGGGCAGGCAGAGAGGGAAACATGAATTAATTGCATTTTTGCAGTGGTATAAAACAAGAACATCTCCTCCCAGTTCCCAGAAGTATGACACCATCCTGAAAAGAGAAAACATGTTCTTATGTGGGCAGCCTGCAGATCAGTTGTTTGCACGTCTTTCACTGTGATTTTTTTTTTTTAACCAATGCTCCCAGACTCTTTGGCCCTGATTTATCTCCCCCCATCTTTTTACGAAAAAAAGGTGGTGGTGAGGCTGTGCAAACTGTGTCCCACAGAGCTATTGCCAGGGCGGCTGGGGGTGTCTTGCCTGCTTGGCTCAGTCTGATCCAAGAAACAAGATGAAAGGAAACCTCCTCTCTGCTGTCTGAGATGGCAGTCGCCCTTGAAAAAGCCAGATTCATTCCTCTGGTAGTGCGGTGTGTGCCTGGGATTTGAAGGGGTCAGCAAAGAGTAGTTAATGATTGACCCTCTCATGAAACCTACAGCACTTAATTTGAGAGAAAGGAAGACTTTAAATGTTCCAGTAACAGCCTGAACAAATCCCAGCGATGAGCTTGACATAAATGATTACCAAGGCAGCCTTCCTCTCACCTAAGATGTCATTCTTTAAATAGTAACTTGAACTACTAATTGGACAGTAGAAATCCTGCTGCTTGCAGAGGGAGCGCTGTAAAAATAGGCAGTATGTTCTTGTAATTGCTGGTAAAGACTTCCAGCTTCTTCTAGCTTGACAGTGAGACAGCGGTGAGCGCATCACGGACCGAGCCTGTGCTGCTGGCTTACTCGGGTGGCACTCCTGCATGTCAGACCTGGCATGCTTGCGTGCAGGTGGACTTGGCAGGAGAATCTGGGGAGGGCACCACTGTCAGCACAGAGACAGCCCTTCCCCAAAGCACTGTTGCAGGTGGAGCCAGACACGTAGGAGACTCTCCAGCAGTGTAGTGTGTGCTGATCTGGAACAGGATCTGAGCTGTGATTGAGGGGAAACTGCTGTTTGCTGTAACCAGGTGCATTAGGTAGGTGAGTAGTTAGGCAGGTTGTCTGCTCATTAATCTCCTCCTAGCTGGATGTCATATGCTGCCACTTGCTCTCATGTGTTGGTGACCTGCTGGCACATGAATCTCTGCTCCCCAGTGAGACGGCTCTTGGCTGGACCCTCTGCACGTTGCACACACCTGCAGCCCCTCCAAAACATCCTATTTATGGAGGTGGCTCGAAAAGGATCAGAGGATGTCAGGGTGCCAAGGGCTGCTTGAATCATTTCCATTACGCCTCAGTGGATCATCTCTTGTTGCTTGGGGGCTGCTTCTATTTTCACAAACAATTTGTATTTCCACATAGCACTGTTGCCTGGCCCCTCCTTGGAGCTGGCGATGAGCAGCTGTAAACAAGGTGGCTGGTACAAGTGGGTACTGAAGTTTGCTGCCCTGTTCCCAGCCTTCTTGGCTGCAGCAAGTCTTCAGAGAGGGCTAGGTTTCCTTGTCCTTTCAGAGCTGTGTCCTCTTCACCTTCCAGTGTTGCTGCCCATCCTACATGCCATCAGAGGGTCTGTTAGCAAGTGTATGCTGTGGGAGCTCCTTGGGGTTGTGCTGCAAGTCTACAGGCCAACACATTAACAGTAATTCATCTACTCCAGCTTTAAATGCAGAATATTTCTGTTTTGAGATCTCTTTGTGGGGAGGGCTGACAAGCTGTTTAACACGTGCCACCAGAGGTTGTATGGTCACTGCACTGTCCGTGTCCCTCCACCCTTTTTCCACTCCACAGCTGAGCTATCTCTGTAGAGTGCTGACACAGGGAAACCACTACCACTTTGTCACTCTTTTTTTTTTTTTCTCCTTGTTTTCCTGAGTTTAACCTCTCACCCACATCTGTTTCCTATGAATTTATCCCTGCAGAGAGCCCAAAAAGCCTTGAAGCTGTGTGCCTGTGCCTGCTTCCTGGAGATGCTGTCAGAAGTCAGTGTTTAAGATCCTGGGCAACACCGAGAGTAGATTATGAGGGAAAGATGGATTAAAAAGATTGAGATGTAGTGTGAAAACTGCAAAGAGCCTCTCAAGTCTTAAGTCTGTCCAGGACTGATTTCTAAGGATGTGATGGGAGCCTCAGGCTGGAGTGCTCTCCTCCCTGCAGAAGGGTTGTTGATGGGACATGTTGCCTGTTGGGGTTATCTCTGATGCTTACTCTGACTATCCATGGCTAGCAGGGCAAGAGAGGGGGCAGATTAAGTTATCGATGAGGAGTGCATGGCAAAGGGAAGGAACAAACAGTCATCGCTGCCCACAGGCAGTTTGACACCATCTTAGTAAAAGTGTTGGTGAGAGCAATATAAATGGAGAGAAATGCCATGTGCCTTCCCTGCAGTGCTGGGAGGGGACAGAGGAAGGTTTGCAGGCAGCTCATAAGCTGCCTCAGATATCAGCATCTGAATTCCTGCTAATACCTGATGTCTGGAAGGTGGAGTGTGATTTGTTTGCAATGGACACAAAGCTGGGAGGGTTGTTTTGGCCAGCTAGGAGAATCAGGGCGAAACCAGTAACTGTAATGGTTCTGGGGCTTGGGTAGAAGGGAAAGAGTTGCAAGACAGGGCTGTGTGATCTCGAGACGCAGAGAGGGTGAGAGCAGCCAAGGGGAGCTCCTCTATGAGCCACACCAAGGAGTGAATGTGAAGTCACTTGTACATGAGGGATTCCTGCTAATTAACTAACTAACCAGGGCTCACTGGGAATCTCTAGTCTTGCTTCATGTAGATGGTTATGTAGATGACTTCTCTCTCTATTTCTCCTTTAATATTGAACTTTTTCAGATTAATTATTAAATACGGAGGAGAGCATTTTATGTCCCTGGCTTGTGGCAGCAGTAAAAAAGCAAGAGCTTTGTCATACCAGCAAAGGTTACTTAGAAGTCAGATAAGCGTTGGGAGGAGAGGTGGAGCCCACTGGAGCTCTGGGTTAATGAAAGTCTAAAGGCACACATGCTCGCTTGAGGAGTTGTAAGCCACTTTGGGATACACTTGTAACAGGAGCAGAGTTGACATGAGGTAGTAAAACTGCTGCTGTAAGGAAAAGGGAGCTTCTTCTTTACTTTTTTTTTGTTTCAGACTGTCCTGTTTATGTCTCTGTTGCACAACATGGGCTCTGTTCAGCGTGGGAGTTTGCATGCAGAGTTCCTCATGTAAGGGCAAGAACAGAAAACTGGAGATAGAATTGATCTACATGGCTTAAACCCACTTGGAAAGAATAGAAAATGCTAATTATGGGGCAGAAGTTAAAGCTGCATCAATCCTTTAACAAATGGAGAAGGCAGGTGAGCTGCCAGCCCTCCTGGGAACAGAGTAGTTAAATCCAGGAAGGATTTTTCAGAGCCAGGGCAGTCAGGAAGCAGGGTGGCTCTGCAAAGCCATTCCTCATCCTGATGCCTGCAGTGAGAGCAGGAAGCTTTTCATCTGAGCAGGCTGTTGCCCTGTGCCAGGCCTTGTCAGCCCAGTGTCTGGACCTGAAATAACTGATATGGCTGTAGTTATCGCTCCCAGTTTTATTACGAAAAAGATCTGTGAGAATATGCCAGTTGTAGATCAGGAGGACCTTATTTTTGTATTAGTCCCTTCAGGTTCTGCTGGCTTTAGTCCTCCGTGATTGCCAGGGTCTTGTATAGTTGTTTTCAGAAATTAATGAATCTCTGTCCTTAGGTTGTTACCTGGCTGCTGCTTGGGATGCTTGTGCCCTGGGTGCCTGTGCATTCTTTTTTGTTCCCACCTGAGCTCATCAGGTTTCCCTAGTCCTTCTGCTGCTCTTCTTTCCCTTCTCCATTTCACACTGGTTATAATAAAAAATAGTCCATGGAGAGTGTATGTCCAGTGTGTTGTGGCACCCTTCGTGGGGGGCTTTTCTCTCCCCTCCTTCCTGCAATGCTGCAAGCCTCATCCTAACACACCGCAATGATGATCCTCTGTCATCTCATGTAGGAAACTCCACCAGCAGCCCTGAACATGAGAACAGCACAGCCTCAGAGCACAAATGGCCTTCCTGCAACGCCCAGGATGAAATGCTGAACTTGGCCTTCACCATTGGGTCCTTCCTGCTCAGTGCGATCACACTGCCCCTGGGAATTGTCATGGACAAATACGGCCCTCGCAAGCTGCGGCTGCTTGGCAGGTTGGTGTCCTGGGCTCCCTGGGTGGGCTGAGGGGTGAATTTACACGTTGTGTGGGGCAGACGGGTGCTGTGCGTGTTGCAGGGTCCCTGCAGCCTTGGGAACTGTCTGAGGGATGCAACTGAGAGCTGCTGGCCGTGCACAGGGCACTGGAGCAGCTCTGGGGTGATTTCAGCCAGCACAGTGAATTGCTCCATATGGGGAGGGCCTGGGACTCTGTGTCTACACTTGAGCTCTTCAGTGTTGCTCTGGGCTCCCTGGCCAGATGGAGCCTGGAGGAAGAGCAGAGTCATTTGTGAGTCATGGAGGGTAGCTTTTTCCTTGAGCTGGGAGCTATGTCCTGAGAGGCACAAAACCAAGATGTTGCATCATCGTTTGCAAGCTGGGGAGTTAGCTTGGGGATAAACACGTCCTGCCTGCCTTTTCTAGGTCTCTTCTCTGCCATGTGGTGTGTGTCGCCTTCTGCCTCGGATAGCAAGGACGTTAGCTGCTTCTGTCATGGCATGTAGGGGTTAGTGACTTGTTGGGCACAGCGGACTGTGCGCTCCCAGCACTGCTAAATTTTAATGCATTGAACTGTACCAGAAACCAAACTGGCCTGTAGGCAGGGTGGGAGAAACAGGGCAAGTCTCTGACTCAGGCTCCACTAGAGAGGAGCAGGTAAAGGCTGTGAGTGCTGTGGCTGCAGCTCAAGATGAAGGCTGCTGCTGTCTTTGGTCACCTCGAGGTGAGGGCTGGCAAAGCTCTGTGCTGGGAAAACCAGCAGGGAATTTGGGTCCAGCAAGAGCTGCGTCAGTACTGGGAGGAAGAGTTGCTGCCTCAGCCCTTGTGCAAGGTTTGTCTGTAATATTTGTGTATTTCCTTGGATTTTTCTTTCCAAATCACTGGCTTCCGTCCCTCTAACAGAAATCATACTGCACTTGCTTAATGAGGTGCTGAGGAGGTAGAAGCGTATGTAATTTACTGCATATAAGGCTGTCTGTGAGAAACTCACGGGTTTGGGTCCCTTTCAGTGCCTGCTTTGCTGTGTCCTGTGTGCTGATCGCGTATGGAGCCAGTAACCCGGACTGTAAGTAGGCGTTTCGGTGCTGAGCTGGGAGTGGGAGGGTTTGGGGGCTGTGACTCGGCTTTTTTGGGGGAAGCAGACAAGTGTGCATGGTGCTGCATGCTTCGACTGTCACATCTCCAGCCTGTCAGGCCTTCAGTGCTGTGCTGGGGTCTTGCTGAGGACAAAAGCCAAGCATCTGCTGGTCTGTGGGAGCTCAGTGGCTCTGGGGAGGGCTGGTGTGTCACAACCTTGAGTGGAAAGTGTAGCAAGGGCCCGACATCTGAGATAGACAAGTCTCTCAGCTTTGTGTTTGGGCAGGGTCAGATCCTGTAAAGGAGCGATTCTAAACAAGTTCATGGCTTTTTCAGGATTGGGAAATGGGTAATAGCACATGACATGTAATTGGCTTTCTCACCAGGGATAGATGGAGCTTGATCCTCAAGACCAGATATTGAGATGACACTTTGAATCCAATTCTTTCAAGTAAATCTTCCTTTTAAGACCATTCAGACAAGCTGTATCAGCAAGTCTGTTCATTAGAGAAAAACTCTTCCATCCTGGAGAGAGATGATCCCATCCTGAACTCTGTCTCAGAGGACAGCCCTGGCCCTCCTGCTCTGTGTGACTGGGGAGATGGGTGCCGGGTCAAGAACAGCATGGCATGTTCTGAGGGTGTTGATCCACTGAGGTTTTCACATGTCAGGACCAAAGCCCTCAGGGCTGTCTCTTTTCCCTCTCCACCTCAGTAAAAGCTAAGGACGTTTTTTTATTGTTGCAGCTCTGTCTGTGTTGATATTCATTGCGCTGGCTCTGAATGGCTTTGGTGGGATGTGCATGACCTTCACATCGCTTACGGTAAGTGAAGAGTTATTACCTGGCTATGTTATTCCTTACTATGGCTGTGAGCTGGGCTAGCAAGAACAAAGTGAATCTTTTGCCTGTGGCTTGAATAGCACGTGTTTTTGTTTGGTACAAAGGATCAGTCACTCTTTTACCTGAAAGCCTAAGTACTAGGTGGTTATTCTAAGACTTTTTTTCCCAGTCCTCTTTTTTTAACTGTCCCTTACATCTCAGGTGAAGGTGGAGGTGGGGAAGAGGAAGTGTTTTTATCTAGGACTCAAATTGTCATACGCCTGTACATGCAGTGCTCAGCTACCTGGCACAGGCTGGACGTGTTTGCACTGGATTTAGCATTGACGTACTGCAGGAAGAATCAGCAGGGCACAAGCCCTTGCAGCTGGGTATGACCAGCTTTCTGCAAGTGCAGTTTGCATCTTGCCCCAGGAAAATGGTTGTTCTTGAGAACAAAAGCTTTTTCTCTCAAAAGGGTGAGACTCTTCCATGTTTCCTTAGAAATGCGTTGTTGAATGCACCCAGCTCCACCTGCGCAGCCTGCTTAGACCTATTTAGTCTATGAATTGCATTGCAAGCATTGATCATCAACTGTCAGCTGAATCCTTGCATTTTGAGGTTCTTTTTGCCTGGAGATAGAAGCAGTATCGTTCTCCAAGTAACTCCTTTATTTTCCACCTCGTTACTCTGATCCTTGGTCAGTATGGCTGAAACAAGGCTAGATGGAAAGTCTCCTAGAAGACAGTCTGGGAAACACTGATGTTTCTTGAGCTGTGGCTGGAAACTTTCAGATTTGGACTGCGTTACCTTGAACTTGCTGTTGAAGTAAAACTTTCTGTTGAGGTTACTTTTAGTTTAACAAGGCTCAGACACCGGCTGAACTCATGACACCTAAATTTGGCAGGGGCTGGGTTTACAGATCACTGTGTGTACTGTCATGTTGCTACTGCTGTTGCTTTCATGAATGCAAAGCTTTCAAAACTCTGTGCACATGTCAGTCTCTTGTTCATATGTAATATTCTTCACTGGAAGCCTTGACCGTGGTCCCAAAAAACTACAGGGCAAATGTCATCCTGCCACGCTGCAAAAAAAAAAAACAAGTGAGAGAGGAGCACATCAGTACTTCTGTGGGAGAGGAGAAGATTCCCATCCTGCTCCTGCCAGCATTGGTTATTGTCTCTCTGGGTGGTTATTAAGGGGTCGCAGGTTATTTTAGAGCCACTGTGATGATAGCAGGGAGAGCAAGGATAGGGCAGAAATATATTGGCTGTGCTGTGACTTTTAGCAGCAGCAGCAGAAGTAACCAAAGCCACTTATTAGCACCCTCATTAGCGAGCCAGTTCCGCAGCACTAAGGAAGCACATAGGCAGGGAAAAACTCAAATCTTCCAAGAAGAGATCCAAGCTTTGAGGAGGTCTGAAGCAAGTAGTGATGCTGTGAGTTCACATGGGGAGACCTCAGGTGGAGCCCGTCCCCTCCAGATATCAGGGTGCTTTGTAAGGAGTTGAGGTGGCTTCAGGCCTGACTTTTCAAATCCAGATCCAGGTGTAGCTTCCTGTGCCTCCCTGCAGAGCCACAGAGGCATTTCGCTACCTGAGGCACGTGAATGTGATTAAAACAGTCTAAAGTGGGAGAGAAGCACTTCTTCACCTGCATCGCGGTGTAGTTGGGGCGACGACTGTTAAAAGCAGATCTATTTTGCTCACTGGCAGCTTTCTGGTTTGTCTCTGTGTGGTTCTGCCTGCAAGCTGGGGTGCTCACAGCTGGTGTGTCAGGAGCCACCTTCTGCAGTGACATGATTATCTCTTGTGGGTCACTTCCACCTGTGGCCCATGGAGATGGAGTGTGACAGCATCGGTGGACAAGGGTCGACCAGGCACGCAGGGATGGCAGGTCCGTGGCTTGCGGGCTCTGGGTGGTGTGGCTTGGATGTGCCGTGCTCTGCATTGCGCCCAGGAGAGGCTGAAGGGATCGCTGGAAGGGGAGCCTCAAAGATCTTTTTTAAGGATGTTTGTTACCCAGAGGCAGTGAGCGCTAATCAACTTCTGGTGCCAAGTCAACTCGTTCTGGCTGACACAGGCACTGACTGCCGAGCGCACACGTGCGTGCACAAGTCAAAGCAAGGTGACTTCCTTCTCCTGCCAGCTGCAAGTGTCCCAAAGTGCTCCAGGAAATGGGTCAAGCCCACTGGTGCATGAGCTGGTGCTCTGCCACCCCAGGCAGGCTACAATTGCTACGAAGCCTTAGCAGGGTGGCTGTGAAGAGAGCCCCTGCAGCGTGTAGGGTTGGGTTGCTCCTCAGGTGCTGTGGCTCGGGGTGCTTCAACGGGTGTCGAAACCTCCCGGGACACCTGTGTGCCTGGGCCTGGTGTGATCTGATGGGACGGCAGGAGATGGGGGGGGGGCATCCTCAGTGCCTGTGCAACGGATCTCTGAGGATTACAGCCTGGGACAATACTCCACGAAGCTTTGCCTCTTGGGTTTAAAGCCTTTTTCAGTAACAAGTCCCCAGGGTGTCATGAGAGCACATGGCATGCTGCAGAGCCAAAGCAAGCTGCCGTTCCTGGGTGCCTGGCGTTGTGGCTCGGGGAGGAGGAGGAGCAAGTGAGCAGTGCTGTTCCCAGTTCTGGGAACAAGGTCAGACTGTGCCTGTTGTTAAAATGCAGAGGGGAGATTTCTGCCTCGTGACTCGATCTTGGCCAATATAAGTGAAGACTGGAAATGGAAACAGATCTGTGTTGGTGGCTCTGACAGCAACACAGGAATCTGGCGCTGGTTCTGCTCCGAAGCTATTTCTCGCAAAGAAATAAACATGTGTGATAAATTACCACAAAGAGCCTTTTATAGATTGTTTTCTGTCCTGTTTTCCTTTCAAAGAATTACAGCTGCTTCGCTCTTATTTTCTGTTACAAACAGCACCCTTTAGTCAGAGTGGGGGGGATCTCTGTGTAGGGACTCTCTGCTTGAAAATATCAGGACAACTTAGGGCTCTGTGATCTTTTGTTTGTTGGAGAATGGGAACAGGAATATCCATATGCTGTGGACAAAGTGGGCAGTTTGAGGCTTTCCTGGAGAACATATTTTTAGTGTCTGTATAGCTTCCAAATATACCCCTGATAGGGAAAACAAAGTTTAGCTTGGACAAAAATACCATTCTTCAGTAGTCTAGTTCTCAATCCCTTGACTTTTTCCGCTGCTCTTTCAAACAGTCCTTGCAAGAGGAGGGAAACTGGGTTTGGTAATACTACTGTGGTATCATTTGCGTATGGATTGTTTCCAGGAAAAAGCTGAAAATATTATAAAAAATGGTCAAAGGTTTTAAACTTGCTATGGGGCAGATGAGAAAATAATCTGCAAGAGGAAATTTTTTTTATCAGTTTAGGATTGCATACCTGTAATAAAGGACTCCAGGAAAAACAGTTATGGTATGGCAAAGTTAAGTTAGGCCATAAAGTTAAAAATAATACGTTGAGTATTATTGACCTTAAAACAGAAGGCGTAAGAGTTTCTGTCATTGTAGGTCTTGCGGAATTGGGGCTGTCATACCAGATTGGGCAGGAGTTAGTGGAGGAGTCCCTTCTTGCCTGCAGGGATAAGATCAGAATGAGGAGCAGATCTTTTTGGTGGCAGAAAAACAAAGAGCCTGCTTGCTCTGTGGCTTGTTTTTTTTCCTCTCTATGGTTCATTTTTTCCAATGCTCACTGCTATAAAGACAGCATGAAAAATGGGTTAGTAGATATTGTGTGTTATTTTAGTAGCTGTCTTTGGATGAGACCTGCACAGGCATTGCCAGTGCTGGCACATGCAGTCTGAGAGGGTTTCTGTCTGGGTATTTTTCCCACTATTTTTTCTCCCCTCTGTCCCTCCAGGTAGTCTCAGTTTTCTTTTCCTCCCAAGTGCTCAATGTTTGCAGTTTCTGCTTTGACTGGGTTGAATAAGACCTTAAATTTCTTATGTCAATTTTTTTTTTTAATCTGGCTGCTTGTTTGGTGCCAAATAGGATTTTAGGAAATCTCCAGCTTCTGGAGATTCTGTCCCCATCAAGGCAGAAGGAGACTTGGGTTATCCCAGACATGACTGCTTGCTTTCAGGCCTGCTCTACGTCTCCAGTAGCCCTCAGAGCAGGAGGAACCACCTGGGAGTTGCTTGTCTGCCGTATGAAAAGGGCTTATTGTGATCTCTGGGGCTCTGGGGAAAACCAGCCCGAGCCAAGAAGCAGCTGTGTTTGTGGAGCTCTTGCCCTGCCCCAAGCTCCCCAGCAGGAGCAGCTAGCTGTTTGTTGTAATTTCAGGAGATTATTTTATGTTTGGGGTATTTGAGATTAAATGAATGCCCTGACAGTGACTAGCCTTTTTGCAACCTGCAGATATTGTATTCTGCAGATGCTGTTTTCTGGGGTGTGTATTTAGGCCACTGCTTCCAAGATGAGATTTTTTTGTGCCTGGTAACAGACCTTTGGATCCTTCGCCGCTTCCTGTCTGCAGCTCCTGAAAGCAGCCTGTTGGCAGCTCTCCCGCATGCAGGGATGTGGGGATGGGTGTGGGGATCCTTGCTGCAGAGGAGTGCAGCTTTTTCTGCCTCTGCCATCTGTGTCTGCTCGGGGTTCACCAGCAGCATCAGGCTCAGCACATCATTGCTGCTGTTTCCTGGCTGGGGTTACGTGAGGACCTGGAGACTGCACTGCATAGGAAGCTCTGCAGTGAGACAGAGGGATGATAAACAGCCAGATGGATCCTCGAGTGTTCCTGCACAGGAATACGCGTGTTGTAAACACGCTGGTCCTGCCGTGACACAAGCCAGATTTGCTTGCCTTATATGCTACTCCTGGGAAAGATGGATTTGTTTTTCAGCAGCGAAAGGGGAATGTGATGACAGCATTCGCTTGCTCAGACTCGGTCTAATGTTCTCTGAATCGTTTTGTTCAGTAGCATATTTAAACAGATAAAATGCTGGTTATGCTTTCAGTCCTAGAAGGCACCCGCAGTGTCCTGCTTTGAGGCTCTCTGAGGCTGACGTGGTAGTGATGCCCAAGTAAATTTGGGGAGTTAAGTGACCTGAAAAAGGAGATGGGAGGGAAATCTATCTGCCTGCAGCAGAATCTCTGCCCATTGACCAGCTTCAGGAGATATCAGCTGAGCTCTCTGTAGCCTACAACTTTGAAGCTTCACCCTGTAATTTCCAGTTTGCAGGCCATCGTTAGTCAGTGATGGAAACTTGTTCACTTCTGGTTGTTTAGAAAAATGGGGAGTTTCTTCTTTCCCAGGAGAAGTGGGAAGGTTCACAGCTCTTTCTGCCTACTCCACTCTGCTTTTGGGTCCTGACTGGAAGCAGAGGCCGGAGAGCCAGCCTGAGAATGCTTTTGTTGTTGGGGTGGCAGAAGTGGCTGCTGTGAGTTGCTACTAGCTGCCTCTGTTGAGAACTTTGCTTTCCCAACAGATCCTTGCAGAACCAGCCTGGTCTGCTCTCAGAAATGCCATCACAACTGGTAGGAGCCCAGGCAGCAAAGTGGGGCGGGTGGCAGAAATAACGTCATGATGTACTGTTGCCTGCTTCTTGCTGCAGAATTCAGCAACTTTGCAGCTACGCTGGGCAATAAATCCTTGGGTATCTAGTGTTTGTGATTGCGTTCCTGCACCTAGCTCCAAGCTGGTGTTCTTAGGCATCTGAGCCCAACTGATGGAGAAATGACCAACTTTAGTTCCTCTTGTAGAGGGAGTCTGCTTTCACAGAAGCAGCCAGGGACCTAGCTAGACATGGAAATGCAAACAGCAATGCAGTTCATGTTTGCCTCTGTTGCTTCTTGTTATAACAGGAACTTTCTGGTCTACTGCAAAGATTTGGGTGCTGACCCAAGGTGCATGAACAAGCCTGGCAGTTCAAGGTGCAGGGTGTGTTAAAGACTGTGCAGCAATCACAGCCTGTGTCTGACAACTCTTGACTAAAAAGAGGGTGATATATAGAGAACTTGGGCATGTATTTTTTGGAGAGGTAAAGTGGTGGCTACAGGCTTGGGGAAAGGAACTCCTAAAGAAAGCACAAGGGCAGGAGCAAACACTCCTGTGCTAAAGGTAATAATGAAAAGTATGCTGTCAGTCTGGAAAGAAGCAATGTCATTAAGCACATAAATCTTGGAATGTAGATGTTGCCTGACACTGGAGATATCAATGTGACCTGCAGAGTAATATCCTGAAGAGCTCAGTCATTCTTGAGTAAAACTGGCTGCTTCAGGTTCTGGTATCCAGAAGTCTTAATCCTAAATTCCAGATTTGTCTGCCATTAGCTTTGTCTTCTCAAGAAAGCCTCCTTCCCTCTTCTTCCCTTCTCTTGGCAGCAGCTTGCTTCAACCAATTTTTCTTTCCCCAGCTGCCCAACATGTTTGGTGACCTTCGTTCCACGTTCATTGCTCTGATGATTGGCTCCTATGCTTCCTCTGCTGTGACTTTTCCAGGAATCAAGGTGAGGCTGTGAAATAGTGACTCATGACTGGTGATGTTGTGTTGGAGTTTTGCACCATTTAGCAATAATGTGGCAAGAAAGAGGGACTGTTTGTTAAAGCACTTGTTTAGAGACGTGCATTTGCAAGATTCAGTTCCCGTCTGTTGAAAGACTTCCCAAGTGACTGCTTCCAGAATTGAACAAACACTGCAAAGAGAATGGTCTGTTTGCTAACAGACGGTAAAATTTTAAAGGTGCTAAGTGAAAAAACAAAGATCTTTTTTAATGAAAGGTTGCTTTTTTAAAAACTCTAGGGAGTATATAAAAGTAGTTTTAATAAATGTGTGTATTTAATCTGTGTGATTGTCACAGATGGTTGGCTTTGACTGTAGTGCAGAGCTAGCAAACAGCACCAACGGGACAGAAGAGATGGTCACTTGGGCTGCCTTGGTAGACCACTAGTGTTTCTGAACTAGAGGGGTTTCATTGCAGAGTTAGCATAAGGGGGGATATAGTAAAAGTAAGGCAGTCTCAAGTGTGCAAGGAAGTTCCTGCTGGCTTTCCAAGGAGAAGGTCCTAGATGAAAACCTTTTGATGTCAGTCATGCTGTTCTAGCTGGACATCCTGTTGTTGTTGTTGCTATAGCTGCTGTTAAAGATGTGTACATACATCTCTGTCCAAGCCTGCATGTTACAAAACTGTTCTTTGTTACCACTTGAGTTAACTCCATTTTTAAATGTTGTTCTCTTCCACAGCTTCCTCTCAGACCTCATTCAAAGAATATTGAAGTGTCTTTCTGCTCTTATAGCCAAAACCATATTCCCTTGTGATTTCCAGGTTATATATGACTTTGGGGTCTCCTTCATCCTTATTCTACTTGTCTGGGCAAGCTGTGCAGGACTAGTATTCCTCAACTGTTTCTTCAATTGGCCACTGGAGCCTTTCCCAGGACCAGAAGACATGGACTATTCGTAAGTGTCCTCTAGACTGGCCTTGAGGGCTAATCTCATTCTTAATCCTCTAGAAAGTGCTGGCACAGCTAATTTATAGGAGTGGACAGGGAACTCCCTGGCATGTTGTTTACTGCTGCTGTTCCTTCTTAGGTTGAGGATTTCTGTCTGCCATTAGTGTAATGCCTTGACTGGTGAATATCTGTGGAAAGTTGGGCTTTCCGAAGTGTAGGAATTATGAAGGAAAATGATCTGTCAGTAGTCATAAGTATTTCTGTATTGATGTGTGCCAAATTGGCCCAGGGGAAGTATCTCTCTGTGCTCTGGATCCAGACCATTTGTGGGTTTGTAGATGAAAATGAGTGCCTTAAATCCACACATAGCCTTTCTGACTCCTGCAACTTTGCTGCCTCTGATTCCCCACCCTGTGTTGCAGCTCTCATGCTCTTTACTGCCCAACAGGGTGAAAATAAAGTTCAGCTGGCTGGGATTTGACCACAAAATCACTGGGAAGCAGTTTTACAAGCAAGTAACGACTGTGGGGCGCCGTCTCAGTGTGGGGAGCTCCATGAAGGGCCCCAAGGAGCCGACAGCCTTGCAAGAGAACAACAAGCTCTGTCTGTCTACAGTGGACCTAGAAGTGAAGTGCCAGCCTGACAACGCAGGTGTGGTTCCATGAGTGCCCCAGGGAAGCTTGTGCTGGCACAAGGCTGTTGGCCTATTTGCTCTGCTCCAGATCTCTTTAAGAGATAGCGATACACGATCCATGCATTGCCAGGGCCACACGCCAGCCACCACTATTTAAATACAAGTGCAGTTGTATAAGGCATTCTGTCCTTGTATACTTGCCTAAATATACTATATGTTGTTGCCAGCGGTGGGGACAACAGCATGGGTGACTGGTATGGCTGTGGAAGGACAGTGCAGTTGGTCACTGCTCTCTCTTAGGTAGACTGTTGCCATCATGACCAAGCCTTCCTTAATCAGGGATATGTCCAAATCAAATGGTTTGAAACTCCTTTTGCTCTAGTCCACAGAATTAGATGAGCCTTCCTACTTGCTCCCTTGCCCCAGTTACTGGTAGCCAAGCTCCAAGCATCTATAGCTGTTCATTATGGGAGTTTGTAAACCACCGAGTAGTTGTTAACTGTGAACTCCTTGGAGCTGCCACTGGCATGCAGTGTTGGAATGACTAGCTAGGAGAAGACCTTCTAACCCAGAGTTCAAAGCCTTTGCTGAAATTGTACATGTTTATGAATGTATGTTGCCTTCTTCAGAGTCTCTATTATTCCTTCTGCAGCTTCTCCCTCCTTCATGAAGAGTGTCTTCAGTCCTATCTTGTTGCTCAGCCTTATCACAATGTGTGTCACTCAGCTACGGCTCATCTTCTACATGGGGGCCATGAATACCATCCTTGAGTTTCTGTCTGGAGATGAAGATCAAGGTGGGGTAACCTGAAGACTTTTATCTGCTTCCTTGGAACCAGTACCTGACCCAGACTTGGTCCTTGCAAGAGGCCAGGGAGCCTGATTACTCAGCAGATACACTGTGTGTGGCAATTAGTAGTGTCAGAGTGCAGCTGACAGCTGCTGGTAGGGTCTAGTGGAGGGCTGGAACTGGCCCAAGACAGGGGCAATGAGGTAGATGCTTGAATGTCAAGCTAATTTTAGCTCAATATCTGTTAAATGCTATTCTGTGTTGTTTTTTCAGATGGATTATTGAAAGTAGCCTCTCAGGATGAACTGCAATAATTATATTTTTTTTTTTTACTGAAAAACCCGTTTCATCAGGTATTTGCTTTGCTTATCCTAAGCCAGCACAAAGTACAGACCAGCTGACTCTCATGACTAATGGTTGGACGAGGTGTCTCAGCCCAGCAACCGGGGGTGGGAGAAGTGAAGTCATAGCTGTTTTGTGCAGCTTGGTGTGTGCCGGGGAGGCTCGGGGGTGCTCACTGCGCTGGACTTGTCTGTATTTTTAGCTCTGATTCAGTACATGGAGCAAACAGGGAAGAGTACTTTAGTTTACTGTTGAAATTACCCAGAATTGCAAAACAAGACTTGGCTTTTTTTTTTTGTCCTTTGTAGTAAGATCCAGTTTGAACTTGTTAAATCTGGATTGCATGAAGCTGATAAATCAAGAGGCACTCTTCTGAAAACAGGAGTGAGCTCTGGGGGAGGAAAGAAAACTCCAAGTGCCCTGGCATTCCCTGAATTGCTTTGTTTTTTGAGCCTCTGACAGCCTGCAGCATTCAGCTCTTTATCTCCTGGCTCAGGAGCCAATTTAGACATTAAACAGTAAACAGGACAAACTTCACACTGCCTACCTTTTCCAACACAGCTTAGTTTTCTGCTTACCTTGTAACTCCTTCACATTGATTTTTTTTTTCCTCCCTCTTTTCTTTCTTTTTGGATTCTTCTAGTTATTTCTTTCATTTTTTTTTCCTCCCCTCATTGGTGTTTTACAATTAATATTAACTATATATGCTGCCAATTCTGTTTAGATCAAGCTCTGTGCTAAAAAAAGGATTGTGCCCTTTGGATGTATTGCGTTTTTTTCTGTGCCACCTTTGAGATTTCTTCCTGTTTTCCCCTTCCTCCCCTGAACGCAGCCTGGGCTCGAAGTGCAGTCCGCTGTCTTGGTGTTTCCATGGCATCAGCAAAACAGTGGTATTGTCTAGTTGCAGCAGTGTCAGG